GTCAGTTTGCTGCAGACAGTATAAAGAAGCAGGGAGGGAGTTTGAAAAGCTCTGTATCATTAACAGATGCATGCACTGCACACCCCTCTTTGCTTCAGAGTGCTAGTAGGGGACTGGCAACACTCCCGCCCTTTGAGCAGCCAGCGGGTAAAAACCTGGGATGGTGCAGGCAGACCTCCCTAATCAGAGGTCCTGCCGGGGCCTAGCCATAAGCCCCCTCAGCTCAGTATTGTGCAAAGGAAGGGAAGGCTGCTTTAGCGTCCCCCACCTTCTAGCCTAAGCCACTGCAAGCATGTGCCTGAATTTCCTCAGTCCAGAGAGAACATCTGTCTGGTTACAAACCAGTTAGTCTAGCCAGGTTAGACTAACCTGCAAAGATGAATCAATTCAGGCTCAAGCATTTTGAATGTCTGTCTCTAGCCCAGAACCATAACTATTCCAAGCAGTCTGAGGCAACCAGAACACAAGGTCAGAAAACAGAGCAAACATTTGGGGGTTACTCCTGGCTTTTCTAGTGACCAGCAGTATAAACCTCCATTAATTATTTCTTTCCTTAGGTTTCTACCAGCAAAATGAGGATAACAGCTACCTACCTACTTTGCAAGGATACTGAAAGAACAAATTAACACTTCTGTGGCACTTAGATTCTATGGTACCCACCCCCTAAGAAAAGCCTATAGGGAAAGAAAGTACTGCCTCATTTAAGGTTTTGAATGGTATTATACAGCAAGCAGTGAGAGGCATGCCAGCAGAGAGTAGAAAAATGATCTGGTGAATTCTGATTCTTCTTAGTCCTTTGGAGGCAAACTAGGTTGTGCAATGAGGAGTGATTAGTGTATGTACACATATGCATGCAATTTGGCAACAGTAAAGCCATGACACCATAGGCTTCAGCTGTCAAGTAGGTACCCAGGGTCCCTAGATGGGCTTGTGCAGTCCACACTGAAGCCCATGTTGCTGCAGCTTCACAGATATAAATACTTGCACTAGCCAGAATAATGCTGGTTCAGGTATGTCTACATGACCAGCAATTACACCAGTCAAATGCAACACAGACACTCGTCAAGCAGTCTTGCAATATCTACAAGTCACAGAGAGCTAAATTAGTATATTGTTGGCCAAAGGGCTTTCTGTAGAATTTTTTTCCCTTTTTATACCCTGGTTTTGGTTATTTTGATGATTCAAGTAGGCATTAAAACACTCCAACTCCCAGCCTACCTGACAGTGGCCCATACTGGAAGCTGCTGTCAATGCTTGCTGAAGTGCCTGACATTTCCTCAATGAATTTTGTTCATGGGAAGAAACTGTCCAATCAATATTGAGCAAGTACTGAAGGATATCACAATGTCCTCTCAATGCACTGTGAACCAAAGCACATTGGCCTTTCTTGTCCAGGTAGTCAGCCTGTATTGTAGAACACACAATTGTTCGTAAAGAATCTCAGAAATTCCATAATATCTAATCAAAACAAAAGGTCAGTCCCCACAACCCTCCCAGTCACACAAGAGATAATGATCTTGTGGGAAGTTTGGTGACTCACTGTATAATTCTAGTGCACTTTGTGTTACATAAATAAATCAGAGTTTTGCAGAAATAATTTTCCATTTAATTTACAGGCAATATTTTTTGTTGCAGTTTAAAGAACAGCTGGAATTTTGATAACCATGCATATAAAATAAAAACCTTAAAGGAGAGCCTAATGTACAAGACAGCTCCTTTACGTGTGTTTTGGGTTCCCTCCAGCTCCTGCTATAGTATGCATGTGCTCATGTGTACACACACACACACACGGGTTTGTCCCTAATGTGAGTTTGTTGGGGGTTGTTATTAAATTCACTGACTCTGCCAAGACCACAAGGAGTACATAAGGTTAGTTCCATCACAGTTCCAGCTCTACTCTTTATTGTGGCTGGTGCACCGTACTGGCATTCCACAGTATCCAACTTGGTGTCACTTTTCATGAAAGTGAGGATCAGAGTGAACGGCCAACACGAGAAGTCACAAACCCATAATACTTGGAGGTGTTCATGGAATGTCATGCATGTTCTCTTGAACTTATTTTACTTATATGTCATATGTGGTCTCTACGGTAGACAGTATTAAGCTGTGCTTAGCCTTATCAATCTTAGGTTTGTATGAACTGTGATATTTGATATGAATGTATTTTTATGTTTCATATTTTAGCCAGGATTGGTAAACAGGTCAGTTAATTGGTTTACAAGACAATGATCAACTTAAGCGTTCCTCTTCTTCACATCTGAGAGAAGTAATCACTGAGATTTAGCATCCAACATGTTAATGACCAGTCAAAGGGACCCTTTCATATGTCATCCAGGCACATGAGCCAGGCGCTTTCAGACAATGATGAATTTACATTTTACAAGGAGTCTTTTAGCAAGAATGACACATGTAAACAAGGCTATTGAAAGAAGGGCATTTCTCACAGTTGGTAAGAGAGGGTATTTCTCACAGAATAAGCGACAGAGAGTATCTTTAGGATACTGGACTAGTACTTTTTACATCTGAAAGAAATACAAATATTCTCTGGGAAAGACTTCTGGTCTGTTAAACAGATACGCACCTGGTGCAGGAAGTTTTATGAATAGTATATGCTTCCTAAGAATTCTGTAGATGTATTTAAACAGCCAGATAAGGAAACATACTTAAGCCTTGCCATGAAAGCAAGTCTTTTTCTCAGATTTCCTGAGCATAAGGTGCTTTAGTTCCCCAGTGGCTTGAGTGGGCAACACAAACTAACAGCCTGGGAAAAAACTTTGGCTTGGACAAAAGTAGAATCTGCATTCTCGGAACTTACTCTAAGATGCAGAGATAAGGTAAAAACATTGTTCTGATATTATCTGTTATGAATATATTCTTATGTTTCTGTCTGTATCTCAACATATGGTTACTAATTTCTTATGCTTGCTTATTTTTTCAAAAAGTCTTTTTGTTACTCTTTATAACTTGCTTGTTATTTTCAATGGCAGGTATGATTTCAGAGCCTTTGACCAGACAGGCAGGCCTCCTCTCCAGAAGTGGGGAAGTCTATCATTCCTGTGAATATAACCAGCCAAGGTTGTGATTCTTGTAGCTGACAAAATCTCTGCAAAGACTAGCAAGACCAGAGTGAGAAGGGTAAAATTGATGTACCCTGAACGAAGAACCTGGCCTCTTGGCATGTCTCAGTTCGT